CAAGCAGAAGTATCGTTCCCATGTTTTGGGTGCCAGGACTGAAAGAGATCCCTTATAGCTGAAGTCTGATATGACGCACCTCGGACATTTGTATGTGATCCTCTATGTTTCGTAAGCTTGATAAGTGTGCAGATTTTGTATTCCGATACAATGTGCCATTGTCATTACATCATAAACCACCTAAGAATGCGGATGACAACTTTTCCGTGGATGAACCTCATTTAGAGATTAGCCTACTGGTGATCTTTTACGCGAAAGTTTTGGCGAGAAAATTGCCAACTTTGGAAGTTTTGACGGGAAAATTGCTAACTCGGGAACGAGAAAAGCTGAAAGGATGGAATTTTAAGGGAGTGTCCCCTACTCATGCGCGACTAAAAGATTTCAGATTCGTTTTTTTTTGCTTTCTATTTTCGATTAATCGGAGGGGAGTACTTGTTGCGTCTTCCCCTTCCACTGCTTCTTTGTTACTTCAAATTATCCGTCAGCTATTACTCTTCTTCGTAACGAGCCGAGGAGGGAAGTACGAACTAGGAATTAATTGTACAGAAGTTTTCGCGCCAATGGATATTCTGCAACAGTGAAAATCGCTTAGGAAGCCTATGTAGACATCCGATTCGTAAGTATTTTTTTGAAAAAATTCTAAATTATTTGCTAGTGCTTGAGTTTTACCTTAATAAATGTACTGTAGGTATAATTCTGAATTTTAAACCTCATTTTTTTCAAAAACCCTAAATTTCGAGCCTGAAGGTACTGCTCTATGAGCGAAAACAAACTCTGCAAGCATTCGGCAGAACTTTGAGTTATCTGAAGAATCATATTGCTGTACGAGAATATTCGGAATTCTTTCTTTACAAACAACACGAAATTCCACGAAAAACATGTTCTCGCCGCTCTCTTGACTTTTATGAGTGTAGAAAGCTGCGATTTCGCATCGCCTATTGAAAGTGGTATCCGGAAAATTGTCTGATTCGATTTGTGTTTCGATGATTAAGATATCCGAAAAAAAAATTTCTACAATGCATCGTAGCGCTTGGCTTCGTATTTTCTACAATTGAAACCGACGGACTGTGCCGCAGCTAGCGCAACCTGAAACGCGAAAAAACACACTAGTTTGTTGCCTTTCGAAATAAAATCTTGATTCCAGTGCATACGGTGGTACAAGCAACACCTCTAGAATTCATTCTTTTCGATGGTAAATTGGTACTGACATATGCTGTTTAGTGCATTCGGCTATCAACATGCTTGTAAGCAACAGTAGTGAGAAGAGGGAATCATCAACAACTTTGCTAGCGGTGATTACTATCGGCATTTGTTGTCACTCATGTGAAGAGGTTTTGTCTTTTGACTTTCTGACAGACTATGGATATTCTGCAACTGTAGAAATCATTTAGACCCCTGATGTGAATTTCCGATGTAACCGGAAGATTTCAAAAAAAATTTTCTTCAGAATCCTGAGTTATTTGTCAGTGAATTTTGCCTCAGAAAGTGTATACTAAAAATTTAATTCTGAATTTTAAACTTGAATTTGATAAAAATACTAAATTTCAAGGGATAATTTGAAGTGAAGGGTGGATGCAAAAAAAATTATTAGTGTCGGTTCCCGCACTGATTTTCCGGGCAGTCTTGATAATGTGATGCGAGCTGGCTCGACGAACGTAGGTTGTGAGTCACTGCAAGCAATCTGCCCAATTTTCTGATGTTCATCAATGAAAAATTTTTGCTACGATTGTTGAAAACCACTTGCGCAAGCATCAATTTCCAGAGAAGAAGCGTAATGAACAAGTTTAGGCTGTACCTCATCTAGTAGGAATTTGCATATTTGTTGGTTGACGTAAGCCAATGACGATCCAGTGGCGAATAGTAAGTGAGATAATTACGATAGTACATATACCGGGCATTATCATTATATCTGTAGTAGTGCTTGCTGTAGTAGGATGGGTATATCGACGGAAGATCATATCTGTAAAATAAGCTCATTTCCTGAATTCTACCAAAAGCAAAACTGAATTGGGGGTTTTTTTGAGTGTCTCTTAGTGACCATATATAAACAGTCAGATTCTTCGTCAGATGAGCGATGCGTAAGACATTATACTGGAGGAAGTAAAATCCGACAGGCAGGGCGTGTTTTCTTCCGTCCTGGTAGGAACCCGGACGTCCATATATCAGTGAGTGGTACCTACGAGAAACCATCAAATGAAGGTCTGGCTAACCCCGAAGAGGTGGTGCACATTGAAAAGATTATAAATATTGACGGGAAGTATACGACCCTTATGGTCAATAATTATTTTCAAAAAATAGGCTTCGTCAGCGGAAGTGCTTAAGGCCGCTTAACGATCATTGCTGATTTAAGCTTGCTTTTGAAAAAAAAAAAACATACAAAAAATTCCTGTGTCTCAACCATGAGCTGTACGGATAGTTCCACATGCTGTACGGTGCTTGATCGGTACGAGAGCGCGGTGAATTTCCCATGTAGCAATCATACCAGTAATCATCGTACTGCAAAAAGTATGAAATTCAAAAATCATAGCATTGTAAAAAATATGAAATTCAAAGGTGCTGAAATGCAGTGGTTATCATCATTTGGATAAAAGAATGAAGAAGAGATCGGCTCGCATCTAAATTT